TGCATTCTTTTTAAAAAAGAGACTATTTTCACAAAATATTTTAATGTTTGAGTAACTGCTTTTACAAAATAAATTGTAGTTTTCAATGACACCAGAATGAAACTTCAGAAAACCAAAGTAACCAAATATTAATTATAAATTTCTTTCATACTTCTTAATCAATGTTTCTTTTTATTATTTGAGATATTCTTAAGTCAATGAACATACTAGGATTGCGTAACAGCAAACAACTGTAAATGTTGTTTATCATCAAGAAGGATTTACTGTGCCTGATTCCTAAGCTAGATAACCTCGCTGTCACTTATAGGTCACTTATCCGCTGTTTTCTGTTTCAATTACTTCCAAGGAAGATAGGAATCTACACCATCTACACCATCTTCTCCCAGAGTGACATATAAGTGACAATTATGATCTTCTTTTCATGTCTGTCTTTGACAGCTCACGGATATACTCCCTAAAATATCTTTTCAGATTCTCTTTTCATTGCTTTTTATTTTTATGTTCTATCTCTAACTTCATTTGCAATATTGGTGCTTATTCTGAATATCTGTAAAGTTCTACTGTTCGTTAAAAGGAAAATGCCTTGATAGTTTTCTTTGCTTGAAATATAGAGATAACAAACAGTATTCAAGCTCATAGTCCATTAAAATAATACGAAACGGGAGCAGAGCAAACACGGACCTCCAAAAACATCAGAGGCGGGATCAGGTGTCATGGAGGAGTTAAGCACCCCCTGTCGACCAGTCACACCCGCCGTGTGCTCTTTGTCCTGATCGGGTAAACGGAAAAATTCGTAGAAATGTCAGCGTGTTAAAGTAGGATTTCATTTGATTTTTTGTGGAGGGGGGGGGTGTTCATACACAAACGGAGTTTAAAATCTCTCTATCTACACATACATTAACATGTAATTCTCATCTCGTTTAAGGAATAAATCTTCGTAAAGCAGGAGAGGGAATAGAAATGGTTACTCCCCTTCTAGGGGGAAAAGTAAACCCTCAAAAACACTGTTAAAAAACAAGACCTTCTCTTGTAGTTTACATTCAAAATAAAAGAGGTAAAGATAACGATCAAAATCAGAAACCCTCTTAACAATAAGAATCGTTAACAGGGCAAAAACACGGACCCCTGGAAACACCGGAGATATGATCAGGTGCCTTAAAGAAGTAGGTATCCCCTGTCGGTCAGATCACATTCACCCGAAACCGTCTGCATTGATCAGGTAAACAAGGTACAGGAATAAATTATATCAACAAAGCATATAAATGCTTTAAAATATGAAAAAAGCAAGCAAAGGCTGGGGTAAATATTTATAGCAGAACTTAAACAAATCAAATGCATGCAAACAAAATTCAGTACATTAGAGGTACTCGGATGCAAAGAGGATCAATATTTCAATTACTTCTCTTCTGGTCCCAGCAGAAACAATTTTGTATATGATTTGGAATTATTATTGCAGAGTTTTATCCAGGGGTAGAAATGGGTTATAATGCATTATTTTCAATATCATGATGCACAAAATCAATCATTTCAAACACTATGAAGATAAAGGTCCGACTGACTTGGAACTGGTTTATTTTTAATTTGATAATGCATATTCCTTCAGGGGATAGTTATACGAGAACCTTATAGTGCACATAACTCCCAAAGATCATTTTTAATACAGGGTGTTTCAACAAACATGTCCCAACTTTTGATGTCTATATTTCCGCACAATAATAAAATATTTACAAAACTATAACTGCATTTTATAGCACATTTTCTTGCAATATAATTGTGATATAAACAATATAAAATAACTTCATTATATTTTTCCTACTGAAGTTTTGATTACATCTTCAAAAATCAGATTGTCAGGTTTTTTTCCTCCAAAAATGGATCTATGGATGTTTTGAACTAATCAACACTAACAGAAAATATCCAAAATCACCAATACTAGTGCATAAGATTTTGAAAAGAGAAGTACTCATATGAAAACCACCTTTCTACGAAACAGACTTTTCAAATGATGTCAAAATATATGCCATACAGGACTTCAGAGACAAATGAGGATGCTGACTTAAAAACAATTCAGCTTTTTCAAACACATAAAAAATGACGTTAAATTGAAAACTGCTGCTGAAGTTTAAACTTTAAAAATGCCTGTCTTAAAAAAAATAAATGATTCGGCATCACTTCAAATTTCATATTGATAAAATTGTTTGATTATGTGGTTTTCATTTTTGCAAAAAATTTCTTATATTAATACAGTCTAACTTTATATTGAAACCGCAAAGTCGGGACATGTTTACTGAAACACCCTGTACTTCTAATGAAATCTTGAGTTAATATAGTAGAACCCTTACCAAAATTTAGTATTTTGCGACCGCGAGTGTGACAAAGCTTACTCCTCCTTTTTTCATTAATTTTTTTGTAGTATTGTTTAGAACAATTTTAAAAAAGAGTAAAAAATATTGAACTATTTATAAAGATGAATAGAATACATTTCATCATGCGAGGGAATAAATCATATGCCACGAACCGATTAGAGAATAGGGACATGTATTTAGAATGGAAAAAAATAGAGTAGAATTTGACGCTTAAAATCGCTGTTATCAAGACTGTCTAACACAAGTTAATAAGAACGATCGATATGGGGTGTCATAACTTTCCCAATTCTCGCCTCCATGATGTTCATTCTACACTAATGACAGAAAGAATATGCTTCTGTTAATGTCTTTTAGTCATAAAAATGTCCATCACGGCCTTGTAGCTGCTACCAAAGAGCATCTATATCTAATTGTAGGAAGAATTATTGAGACGAATTCTTTCTAAAACCCATAAACAGGAAAAAAGACATTAGACCACGCACCCTGGACTTTAAAAAAGTATAACATTATTTACAATAAAATCTGGAATGGGTATATGTTAGGGAGCTTGATAAATCCCATAAACTTAGAAGGGTTGAAAATTATATTTATTATTTATATGAAAGAGTAATATCTGTTTTGATAATTTTTTTTCAACATATTGTTGAAATAATACTAGTTGCAAAAATTTTTGATGAAAGAATAAGCATCTCACTTCTTCAATAGTTTTTTCGGTTATGTATATTTTTGCCTTCTTGAATTAAAAAAAAATGGGGGGGGGGGATTGATCACTACTTTTCTATTATGAATAGTTTTCGTTTTGGCTTAATAAAAAATCTGGTCTACGAAATGTGTGATATGTTTTGAAATACTTCATTCATTATTGATATCAAAAGAAATATCAAGTACTTATTCATAGGTAAATAAAATTAAGTTTTATTTGCATTGAGTATGAAATTGTAAATTAAAATTCATAACATGTTCTAGAAGTCTAACACTGTTTTAAGTGTTCGGTTCTGTGATGTTACTATCAATCTTAATTATGAATCTCAGATTCCTTATGCAATTTGTAATGTCGAATTTACATTACTTGAATTTGTAAGAACTACGAAATATTAATCAAAGTTGCCATACATTTTCACATTTTATCCTAGAAGTGTAAATTGTTTTGGAATGCCTTTGATAAACCAGCTCTATCTCAAGATATGATATCTTAGCATGCCACTGCGCTCAGAAATACATTCGAAAAATTCGTAAGAACGATAAAATTTCATATAAGTTTGATATAGACATAAAATTTTCAAAATGTTGACCGACTTTTCGCTTCATATTTTAAAAACATGTCATATTTTATCTTGATTATGATTTCATCATTTGATATATTTATTACGTACTATTAATGATCTACTCTCGACCTGATAATGAATGTGACTTAATCAAAAATCTAACTGATAACCCAAATCATAAATGAAATCCATCAACATGTTCTCAAATTTTTTTTAATAACAATTAATGCATATTTTATTTTTTCCTGATGTCATTTATAAAGATAAGTGCCTAGTAGGTGATTTTCATCAGAAAGTAATTCGAAATAAACGATCGGCTTGTAATTATGCTGGTAAAGTTATGCATTTTGTTTGATTTGAGACGCAGAATAAATACGAACTGCATAGTTCATATCATAACGTGCTTCGCTTAATTAAGATTTTCAATCATGGGGCCGTCGTTTGCTTAACTGTCCTGCCGCATCGTTAAATTTAAATAAAATGGAGTACAGTTGTATGGAAATATACCAGCTGACCGGTCATGTCACCTGAGATAAGAACCATTAAAGAACTTCTGAATTATTCTGTTTGAAATTATTTTGTTTAGTCTGCACGAGATTTAATGGAATTGCGAGATCGATGCACGATTCCTCCAAGATAAAATATGCATATTACACTGTGTTATTATAACAGGCAGCTATCTTATAAATTTCCGTTCATTCTTCATCGGATAAATTGCATCCTGTCACACAATGCCGTATAACATTAGTATAATATTGTTAATTCTATTCCCGCTTTAATTCAGTTCTAGAGAAGAGCGGCAAAGTGCTTGTAGAGTTCAACTTTTCTCCTCCGATTACTCAATTTTCAGATTACCAGAAAATGTTCCAGATATAACTGCATAACTTCCGCGAAAATCTGAAGTTTTTTGCTTATTTGACAAAGAGATTACGTTTGGAAATGCCAATACAACGTAAAAGCATTCTTTTACACATTTTTTAGTGATGTTTGCTTTCGTTTATCGTCCGAAATTGATCAAAGAAATATGATTTTACGTGCATTTTGTTCAAATATTGACATTCTACTCTGCATTACATTGTGTTGAGACCAATAATCTCCCACAGATAACAATCATCTTTCTATGGATCATGTATGTGAACAGTAGCACCTCGGTTTCCTCATGCTTTCGCCGTTGGCATAAAAAATAACAGATTCAATTAATCTTTATTTTTCTGGAGTTAAGTATAACTGTGAAGATATTTTATTTTGACACTGGTATAAACTGCAGAAAATGGATTTAAAAATTTGACAAGGGAATTCTTTTCGCACAACGTTGAAAATCAAACACTCCTATCACACTTTGTACGAATAATTTATTTGTTTGTTTCAGATTCTGAGAAAGGGTTGCACCAAGACAAGCTTTATGACTATTTTCTACATTTCATCGGATGTAAATGTTTTAACAAAACTCTTTCCAATTATTTAGACTGAAGAGAAGGACATCTAAATACGTCCCAGAATGATCGATGGGCGAAATTTAACCATCATGGGTAAAACACACGATATGAATGCGACACAGGACATTCTGTTCGGAGCAGGACCGGATGCACCACCACCACCACCACCATTTCAAGAAGGATTTGAGTTATTCATGGCAATTAACGAATTTATCAAGATTGCCATTCCTGTGATCTTTTCTCTTGGATTTCCATTAAACTGGATCACATTTCATATCTTTGCTAGATCTAAACTAAAGGATACTTCATCCTCGCGATACATTGCTGCTATTGCTTTCGTTGACAACGGGGTTATTTTCACACATTTCTTAACTCATTTATCCGCTTATTTCAATATCCCTGTGTTTAAGCAACATGGTGCTTGTCAAATGGTTAACTACTTTAATTTTATGTGTACTTTCCTATCGATATGGTACGTAACAGCACTTGTGATTGATAAATTCATTGGATTGTATTGGCCCGTTAAAAGATCGGAATATTGCACGGAGTTCAGGGCAAAATGTGTGGCTGTATCTCTGGCCATCTTCTCCGTTGTGTTCTATCATCATCTTGTTTGGACCATGGGGCCAGAGGAAGTGTTTGGGAAAACAATCTGTCTTCCGTACGCAGCCCCAGGCTTGTATGAAACCTGGAGTACTCTCAACAAAGTAGATTATGTACTAGTCGCCATTATTCCATATTTTACCATTGTTATACTTCTGTGCCTTATACTTTTTAAAGTGTTTACGTACAAGTCACACACTAGACAATTTAATGGATCTGTTCGAGGGAGACCCCCCAGTGTTTCCACAGAACAGGAATTTAAAACGATGCCTCTGGCCATTGTGGTTGCCATAGCAACAATTGTCCTAGGATTTCTTAATAATATTTGTCGAATTTTCCAAATTGTTCAGCCGATAGTGGCGACAGTGGCAACGTTTCTATCTCAGTTGTCGTTTGCGTGTAAATTCTTCCTGTATGTGATGACGTCAGATAGATTTCGAGACGAGCTTGTTGGTCTTGGTCGTCAGATTATCTACCATGTTTCCAGACCATGTCGATGTAATAGGCATGATGCAGGGCCTACCTTCATCACCGTCAACCAACAGACAGACGACGTCCACGAGTTTCATTGCATTATTGAAGGTTCTGTGTGACAGAATTCAGACCATATTAAAAATTATGATGCTATTTAATCAAATTTAAATACATAGAATAGGTGATCTTTGGAAAGATAATTATTTTACTTTAGAATATGATTATGAAATAATTAAAGTAACATGACCTGTACACTCTGCTTGAATTTTGTTAGAGAACACTACTAGAGAATTGGAGAAAAAGAGGTTACTGTTAAATAAATGCACTTTGTTGAGAGCCCTACCTATATATAGAATCAAACAAGCTTTTGTATCGATAAACTTGGGTATTGATAGAATTACTCTAACAGAAGATGAATTCTGGTTTCATTGTAATTTAAAGCAAATTACATGCTATAAAAAAGAGGAATTCTGCAAATTTTACCTTATGTCTTTGGGTGACACATGCATGCAGGCATTCGTGGCCTTTCGATAATGAATATTCTTGAAATCTCTGATTAACAATTGACTAGTGTAATGCATGATTGCCAATATTTTATCATACTCATTTTAACAAACATCAACCATTTTTAAAACTTAAATCAAGTGGTCAAAAATATGCAGAAGTAGGAATCATATCGCTATAATATTAAATCTTCGACATATGTTTCATATAAAAATGGAATAATCATACCAGATTAAAATATAAAATGATCAATGTTAAAAAACTTTATTTTGCTTTTATTATATTTTATGTTTCACGGAATTGATGGCTTGGTATTTTTACATATTCCTTTATCTATAGCTTAATGCATGTTTAACAACAAAGCATTTTCAATCTTGAAAAGATATAAAACGGTCATTTATTCAGTTTTAAATCTAAAACTATATTGCTAAACTCGGATTTCTACTAAAAGTTTTATTATAATTATTTATTGTTCTTAACGGGAAAATATGACATTATTCACATTTTCCTTAATGTTCTATACAATATAGGCCATCAATTGTACTATTTTAGTCAGAGACATGGCAATTCTAATAACCATTTATTCTTCAAAAGCAAAGTTGCAGACGTACAAATGATCGCCTCTCTGTTTACATAATGAGTCGGCTGTAGATTCTTTGATTGAACAAATCATTTATTGTTATCAAGTTTTCTTCATTTTTGTACTTTATTTGTTGTTATCAATCTCCCATTTCTTTCTCGAGTTGTTCGAGTACTTGCATCAATTTGCGTCTGTATCCATAGTTGACAAATATCATTCATTTCTCTTTTTTATTTATTTACTTATTATAAATGTTTGTCGATTCATTCTTAACTTGTATTATATTTTGAACTTAGTCTACTTGTTTTATTTTAGGTGAGTTTCTTTTAGGGTCAATTGTCTTTTTTCTTACGTTTATTTTTGATAATTTTTCTTCATTTTTTCATCGTTCAATTAATATTTTTATTTTTCATAGGTTCCTTCGTTTAGAATGTGTCATGATTTTATTGTATTTATGCACATTGATTTATACTGTTTATATTCTTAGGTTAATATACTTCCATTCATTCTTCCTAAGTTGCTAAAAATAAGTTCTGTCCTTGCATTTATTGCTAATAAGTTTCCATTGTTTCATTATTGTGCCATTTGTCATATCCTTGAATCACGCCAGGAACGAACAAAACAAAAGTTCTTTTCTTTATTAAAAATGGATCGAAATGATAATAAACAACATAATTATTTATAAAATTGGATGTGTACTATAGTAGTCAGTGATAATGACTTTCATCAATCAGTGAAATACAACAAAATGCACTCACAATCAAGAAAAACATTCTGCCGACATAATGGGTATTGTCCATACAAATAAACCATAAATTAAATGCATATTGCCCCCTTTTTCTGACTTTTGTAATCCACAATCCCTAGTGGTCTATTCTCTATATGCAGGTTCATACTGGGATCAGATAGCTCTATACGAATCAAATTAACACACTGTGGAAGTAATGGAAGCTTTTCTGTAGACCGTGTAGAGAAAACAATGATCATAAGCTGCTTTAATTATACTCCATATCTATGCATGCATCTGTATTTGATGTGTATTAAGGTTCCTCCTGAAATATGAAGATAAAGAAAAGTAATCAAGTTCAAAAGTTCATTGAAACAATACAAATGTGGAGCAGAGCAAACACGGACCTCTAAAAACATCAGAGATGGGATCATATGCCATGGAGTAGTAAGCATCTCCTGTCGATCAGTCACTCCCGCCGTGAGGTCCTTGTCATGATTGGGCACATGGAAAAATCCGTAGACAATTCAGTGTGAAAATAATGATTTAACAATTTGAATAAAAACGTCAGTCATTTGTACCGACGTGCGAATTGAGAATACATTTAGATAACAAAAATCCTCATTATATTTTGACAAAGGAAAACAAACCGATGTATTGGGCTTTTAATAATCGCAGATATATGACAAAAGACCTTCTATATAAAGTTAAGACTATATTATGGTCTTAGCAGTGTGGCATAATAAAGATAAAGTAGCTTGTGTCCACGAAAATGTGATAAAAATTCAAATCCATATTTATGACGTTATTATGAAACTAGGTTAACGTCAGACATTTACTAAATTACGGTCTATATCAAAATAATATCATGCACATTTGGCAGTGTGGTCATTGTTAAGAAAATTAAAGCATTGTTTACGAACTTTATGGATAATCCTCGTATGTGTCGTTACTTAATGTAGATTCACACCCATTCAATCCATGCCCCCTTGGGGTAGGTGTTGCCATAATAGATTAATGTAACATTAGAATATACAAGAAAACCCTTTCAAAATCTTCTCAAGAATAACAGGTCCGTGATAAGTTATCTGACATTGCGAGCATCCTGTGATAGTGTATATTCAAATTTGTTCAAATCATTGGCCCGGGATATAGGATGAGAAAACAGAAGGAGATAAAGATTTTAAATGGGAATACCGTACAGCGGAAAATTTTAGTGGGGTGGCTTTGGCTTTTTTCCGGTTTGTTTTAGCTCGCCAAATCGTTTAATCGTTAAATTTGCACTCTAGAAGCAAGAAAGTTATCTTGAGCCGTCTGTTGTTAATTAATCTACAAGATTAATTTCTCTTTGAGCTAACCAGTATTTGACTCAACATTTATCACAATTCACGGCTGGTATATTTTGATATTAAAGTATTGTGTCTTGTGTTATTTACATATCTAATTAAGATATCTTAAGTACTTTTCTGTAAAGTGGTATTAGTTTGCAACATTATGAAACTGCTTGTCCACAGAATTATTGGCACCTTTGAGTAAGCTAGGCGTCAAATTTTTCACCCGCTAAAGAACCCCTTGAAGGGTATATAGGAAGAAAATCATATGAAATCTTTTTTATTAGAACAGAAAGGTCATGATAAGACATATTAGTGAATATTTACATTCGCTGTGTTTTTCTACTTAACCAACTAGGAAATTGATTTGAATGCCATTTTCGTGTATACTCACACGTGGAAATATTCACAGAGAAACTCGTGTTAAAGTGACGTCACGATGAGGCTACAGAGACGTTAAGAAAAATATACCGATATGGGGCAGGGAGAAACTAAAAAATTGAGTATATTTTTTGCTGCTTTTAAACATGTAAAATGTAAATATAAGAAATGTTTTTGAGTTTTGTGTGAATTATTGGTGTGTAAATCAAACAAACTTGTACGTAGGCATATTTTTAATGAAACGCACTAGTGAAGAATTAAATCTGTTCAAATCATGGTTCCGGGGGGTATGGTTTGGCCACAATAAGAGATCCAAAAATTAACATGGAAATATTTTGGGTGGAAAACTGCCAAAAAAGAAGATCAAAGCATGGATAATTATATTGAAATGGAATTATCTTCATATCTAGGAGAGATTCAAATTCCTTCAAACAGAGGCCCCACAGGGTTTGGTGGGGCAAAAATTAGGAGATCAACATTTAAGATCGCATATGGGAATATATATTATGATTTTTTTTAAATCCTCTGATGAGAAAATCTTCTGATGAGGAACAGCAAAGCCTTGATTATCCAGATTACTATGGAAGCATCCTATATAGTGTGCAAAATATGGCCTTTCGGGGTAGAGAGGGCCACAATAAAACTATATACGAAAAAGGTCATTTAAAATCTGACGAAAAACAGCAAGGTCCTGATTTGTATTATTAATATGGAAGCATTCTCAGGTGGTATAGATACAAGTTTGCTTAATCATAGCCCAGGAGGTAGGATTAGGTTACTTGTTTTTCAAGGAAATTTGTAGAAAGAAATCCCTGTATAAATAGTAGGGCCTTATTAAATCATATTAATATGCAATTATTATTCTAGTTTTTTTCTCTCAAATTTTGGACCAAAGGGTTAAGCTGGGGCTATAATCAGAAATCAGATTGTATGCATTGCATGTGTACAGGAGGAAAATTATAAATAAATCTTCAGAACAGCAAAGTCGTGCATCCCCAATAGTATGGATTTAAGTCAGGCTAAACATTATCCTTTGAAGCTACTTAAGGCCACTTACAATTAGGGGTTAAAATTATCATTGGAATAAGGAGGAAAAAAATCTCTTAAAAATCTGAAGATAATCCTCGTCCCCCTAGTTCTGATTCATTTTGTGTTCTTTTTCCCCCTTAATTTTCCCTTGCGTTGTAAAACTGGACGCTATAACTATCTACAACCAATAGACAATGACGAAAAACAATTTTGATCTGTCAATAACCCTTATATAATTAAACAATTTGTAGCATTTTCCCTAAATTTGCTTAATTGCTTTTATAGTAGGATAAGTATTATAACATACACAACCCAATTCTACGATGATAAATGTTTATCAATCTGTAGGTCAGCAATGGATTTTTGAAAAATCTTTGAAAGATTTTTACTTATATATGTCCATGCGAAAATCTGGATCGTTTTGAAGCCTAACATTCAGGAGTTCTTATAACTACAGAACTTGGATATACTTGGAAATAATTTTGAATCCCCTTAGTTATTTAAAATATTTGCCAATATATTTCTTTGTAAAATATCGAACTCTTTGTGCTCTTATCCATTCTCCGGTAGCCATTTTCTGAACAAACCTCAATCTTTCTACATTAGAATGCCAATAAAATGTGAAGAACGAAAACTGATCATGTTCAAAAGTCCATTTAAACTATACAAATTGTGAGCAGAGCTACATGGATGTCATGTA